GGGTTGACCGCCTCCCCGACATCGAGTTCGCCTACAACACTTCGGTGCACCCGGCGATCGGCGTGACTCCATTCGAGTTGCACCATGGTGGACGGAAAGGCCGTATCATCGCCGACCTTCTCCTCCCTCGACCAGCCGACATTGACGCTGCTTGCTCTCCCGCTTCCGTCCGGAAGTACAGGGAATTGCTGACTCAAGCCCGCGCAAATATGCAAAAGGCTCAAGTCCGCATGCAGCAGCAAGCCAACAGGCGTCGCGTACCATGTCCCATCCGCGCCGGTGATCTGGTTTGGGTCTCCGCGGAAGAGTTTGCATTGGAACAGGATGTTTCACACAAACTGCTTCCCAAGTGGTTTGGACCTTGGTCTGTGACAGTAGCCGCGGGCGATGAGCTCGATGACCCTTCATTTGTGATCAACATTCCAGAGCATCTGACGGTCCATCCGGTCTTCCACGCCTCGAAGCAGGCAACATACACGCCAACCAAGAGCGACGACTTTTCGGGCCGACGATCGCAGGACCCTCCTTCTATGGATGGTCATCAGGAAGTTGACCGCGTCATCTCCGATCGCAAGTACGGCAACAAGCCGCGGTAGTTCAAAGTCACATTCAAAGCATGCGATCGCGACGACACTCGGTGGATTTCAGGTGCAGATTTGAAAGCATCCGCACCGCTGATCTACGCGCATTATGAAAAACGGAGGTTAGCTCAGGAAGCTTCACGACCAGCCCCTCCCACTCGGACTGTGGTCCCTCCCTCAGACAGACAGCTTCGCCCTCGCAGGTAAGCTCGGTTCTTCAAGGWGGGGGGGGTGTGGCATACTGCGTAGCCACACGGGCCCTGCAGGGCCCGTCCCGGACATTCAGCCTAAAAGCCTAAAACTTAGGGCTTACAGGCCCCGTTCGTTTCAGCCTGAAAGCTGAAAAACAAGGGCCTGCAGGCCCTAACCCGTTTCAGCCTATTTCTGGGTCTTTTCAGACCCAGAGTTTTCAGCCTGAAACGGAGGGCCATTTTCAGGCCCTCATTGTTTCGACCTGCCCCTAAGACTCAGGCACGGAAACAGGGATGCGGAACAGGCCAAAAATAGCCTGTTCCTCACGAACTCGAGCAGGAGCTGCAGCTGCAGCCCCTGCCTCCGATCGGCATTGGCAAGAGCAGCCTCCTGGACTGCTCGCCAACAGTCAGGAGGCACCCCGGTAGTACATAGGACTGTCCTAGGCACTTCACGGGTAGGTAGTCTCCAGTAGGCACGAGTAGTCTTYAGGATTCRGCCGCAGCACTCAGGAGGAGCGYTGCAGTAGTCTTCAGCGCTAGGTAGTAGATAGCGCTAGYTGTAGTCTTCGGCGTTGGGCGCCCATAGCCTTAGTGGTAGTCTTCAGCGCTGGGCGCTATGGTAGGTGGTAGATCGTAGAGTGGGAGAGATACTGGCGGAGGCCAGTGGGACTTACCTGTGGCGCCATCGCTCCAGCTCCATCTTCGTGGTACCTGCATCAAGGC